GAAGCTATCGGCATTGCAACTGTCAGGGTCGACCGTGTCGCAACTGTTCACAGTATAGAGATCACCAGGCAGCAGGTGAAGGATATGTTCATTGATTGTGTCTATGGTGTCATTGGTAGAGGACAGTATTGCTCTCGACTTGAATGTGGTGGGGTCTGCATGTAGAATATCGGGGTAGACGAAGTTGATCAATTCTTGGAATGATTCCGTATTCTCAATGACAAACGGATCAGGTGGCATTGCTGGGATGTCATGAATATATACTAAGGGCACGGCATCAATTCCGTCGTCGGTTGTGGTGTGTGGCTGGGCTCCGATACCAATATTGCGTACAAAGGCGGCGTAGGGAGCATCCTCGCGATCACGTTGGGAAATGGTCAGGCGCATTCTATGGACATACGGCCACAGTGGGCTTGAAATGATGGAAGCATCAACTCTTTCTGCCTGTCCGCCGTAAACGACGACGGGTCCTATTTGACGCATGTCGCCACTGAGCAAAACAGTTTTGCCGCCCATTAGCAGGGTGTTCCCCATGAGGTCCTGTAGCGTAAGGTCAAGCGCCTCGACGGAAAATCGGTGGCTCATTGGAATTTCGTCCCAAACGATCAGATCACACTTCCGCAAAACTTGTGCTTACCAGTATTGAATATTACAGCCTCTTCCAAACAGACCTTATTTTTCGTCATGTTTGACGATACCCATGGCTCTAGCAGCGTCTTGGAATGTTTCATGAACGATTTCGTTGTGAGTCCTGAGTAATTCAAACGATCTTGCCGGTTTGTGGTGCAAAAGTTGGCGCAGATAGGACGTCCCCTTTATCTGGTGTAATAGCCGTAACACGCGCAACGTGCTTGTCTGAAGTGCGAGGTGTAACATAATAGCCGAATGTGTCACGAAAATGCGTTCCTGTTTTCCGTGACTTTCGATCTTTGTTGACAAGGTACTTCTCTTTGTGGTCCAGGTACGTGAGGGAATCGAAGTCGGACTCGGTAGGTCTTCCAAAGTACAGCATGAGGTCGGATTTGGTCTGTTCGGCTTCCGACTTCTGTTCGGCACGTGTAAGAGTTTGATCGACAATGACGATCGTGTACGGGTCTGGGCAGTAGAATTTCACTTCTCTTCGGCAGGCGACATATCGGGACGACGACAATGCGTGCGTGTTCGGGGAGGTCTTCCACTCGTCGTGTCCGCTGAACTTTCTTGTGCAGGTGCGTGAGTACTACGCGTGCGCGATCGTGTGCGGGGCCGGCTATGAACAGATTTTGATTGCGTAGAGGTCGAACTTGTTTCTAGTGAAGATCTTGCACTCGTCGTGTCTGCTGTACTTTCTTGTGCAGGTGCATGAGTACCACGCGTGCGCGATCGTGTGCGGGGCCGGCTATGAACAGATTTTGATTGCGTAGAGGTCGAACTTGTTTCTAGTGAAGATATTTTTTGACGGCGGCGAATAGCTTTGGGTGTTCGTGTGTGATATAATCGCATAATTCCAGCATCAGCAACAGTAACGGAACCGTAGCGGCTCGCATGCGCTCGGATATGTTGTACACGAGCTTCAAGCACATGAAACTCGGCAGTTGAAAAATCGGAAATCTTCAGATGTAAAGACAGGAAACGTTTACGACGGCGAATTCCAGTAGGGTTGCGTGTGTGGAACATGCGCAAAATAATAGCGTCGTGAGCAGTGACAGCACGGTGTATTTCCAGCTTGCAGCGCACACTGGGGAGCTTGGGAGGGGCGCGCGGGAAAGAGGGGCACGAGTGCCAAACGGGAAGGACGGGAGTGAGTATTCAACACGGAAGGAATAAAAGCACGAGGCTACGTTATACAGAAGAAAATTGGTATGCGTTATACAGAAGAAAAATTGGAAGAGAAAAAAATGAGGGAAAAAGAACGACTCAGAGAGGAACTAAAGAGTGAACAATCAGGGAGATGCTCACGTCGATGCGGTCGTCGCCTTCCTAGACTTTCTCGATAAAACGGAAAGCTTGGCCGCTGGCCAGCTTGAGCTTCGTGCCAAGGCAGTCCTCCCACTTGAGGTGGGTGTTGACGTAGGCTTCAAAGCGTGAGACAGCAGCGATCGTGTAAAGGAAAAAGTGATGGGTGTGAGAAAATTGTGTGTGCATGGAAAATGATTGTGTGAACAAACTTAGTGTGAGGCACGATGATCGAAAAGGTTCAATAATAGGCAGGAGAGGCTACCTGGAGAAGGATTGGGGACGAAACCCGTGGAGGTGCAAGACAGGCATAGAGGCTCATGCAAATGTGGAAGTCCAAAATGGTGTGGGAACGCGCATAGAACGAAAGGTTCACGGAGAGAAAAAGCCACAACACACACCGAGCAATAGAAAAACCAAAAAAGAAAAACCAAAGACACAACGCACCGACTTTGCCGGACTTCGTCTTCTCCGCCTGCGGGTTCGGGACTCCCAAGCACACGGCGCCGGGCTTGATGCCCGTTAGGCAGGTCACGCAGGGCGACGGGATCGAGAGTACCGATATCTTATACTTGCAGCCCCGTGAGTAATTCTCACAGCCGCCGAACGTTGAACAGCGCCGGGTGACTTTATTTAGCTCCGTCACACTCTGGGCGAACGCAATAACCCAACACCTCACCGAGAACGTAGTCGGACCCAGGCTTGCGCTTGGCGGCAGGAGACTAGTTGAAAATGTTGCGCGATGACATGAAGCTTGCAGAGGTAAGAAAGATGCAGGCACTGGTAGAAGTGAGAGGTGTGGGGGAGAGCGCGACGTGCGAGCCCGTGGCCCGCCGTAGAGTTTTTTTAACGCCGTAGAGTTTTTCAGCAAAAATGTCCGAAGCAGCGAAAGGCCCAAATGAGTCCTGCCGGTCCATGAATCGAGTTTTAAATAACTCTCGTGCGATGAGAGATAGCAGACTGCGCAAGCTGCGACAAATCGTGAGCAGAAATATGTTTGGGGCTCCAGAGCGCCAAGTATATATTTGTGTTCTGAGACGAAGAGACTTGAAAGAAATCGTTCGTTCCTTTATTCCTTTATTGGATGCCAGGACACATAGATAGATAGGTAGAGAACGAACCGAAAGCAGACAGAATGCTGGGCGTGCAGAAATGAGGTGCAGACAGACGGAGAGCGAAGAGAACGAACCGAGAGCAGACAGAGAGCTGGTCTGCAGAGGGAATGAGACAGACGGAGAGCGAAGAGAACCCCGAGAGCAGACAGAGTGCTGGTCTATATATTTGTGTTCCGAGACGAAGAGACCTGAAAGAAATCGTTTGTTCCTTTATTCCTTTATTGGATGCGAGGACACATAGAGAACGAACCGAAAGTAGACAGAATGCTGGGCGTGCAGAAATGAGCTGCAGACAGACGGAGAGCGAAGAGAACGAACCGAGAGCAGGCAGAGTGCTGGTCTATATATTTGTGTTCCGAGACGAAGAGACTTGAAAGAAATCGTTCGTTCCTTTATTCCTTTATTGGATGCCAGGACACATAGATAGATAGGTAGAGAACGAACCGAAAGCAGACAGAATGCTGGGCGTGCAGAAATGAGGTGCAGACAGACGGAGAGCGAAGAGAACGAACCGAGAGCAGACAGAGAGCTGGTCTGCAGAGGGAATGAGACAGACGGAGAGCGAAGAGAACCCCGAGAGCAGACAGAGTGCTGGTCTATATATTTGTGTTCCGAGACGAAGAGACCTGAAAGAAATCGTTTGTTCCTTTATTCCTTTATTGGATGCGAGGACACATAGAGAACGAACCGAAAGCAGACAGAATGCTGGGCGTGCAGAAATGAGCTGCAGACAGACGGAGAGCGAAGAGAACGAACCGAGAGCAGACAGAGTGCTGGTCTATATATTTGTGTTCCGAGACGAAGAGACTTGAAAGACATCGTTCGTTCCTTTATTCCTTTATTAGGGTGTTTGCGGACTGGTTTCGATTTCAGTCTTGAAAGTTCGATGGAGACCATATTTTGACTTGAAAAATACGTTGCAAGTCGCCCCGAGCGCCGAAGACCGCCGGATCTTCAGGAATTTGGACTTTTTCTTTATGCAATTGCCCCCAAAGACCACAGAAAAGTTGAATTCAGTCTTGCTCATTTTGGTCTTTGTAGGAACAGTTGCTGGTTGGCCGAGCGCCCCGTGACGGAGACGCCGTGGGCCTCATGCGGCAGGTGAAGGGTGAAAAGAGGCCCGGCGCCGTTTGCGCACACGCACTTGCTCCTTGTGGCGTAGCACCTCACGACACAACAAACGCACGTGGTGGTGGCGAATCCAAAAGGTTCCGTGGCGATCGGCTTCTACAATTGCGTGATCTGATGATGAGTGAGAGTAGTGCGATGTGGCCTGTGCCCGCCGGCAAACAAATAAATGTCGCAAGGAGACACAGCATGCACGGTGTTTACAGCAGCAGCAATCGTTGTTGTTGTGGGTGTTGCCTCATTCTTTTGGCGCAACAGACGAGTCTACTACAGCTAGCAAAAATAGAGCGCACAAATAAATAGCAGATCATCATCTCTGTCTGTCCGGTGGCTCGGTGGCTCATCGTAGCGTGTACATACCTACTACGTGCTGTGTTCGGCAGAGAGCTCTGCACGGACGGGCGAAGCAAGCGTGAGGTTCCTCCGTGCAGCATGTTGGAACGTGAGCAGGAAAAAAAGGGTAAACGGTACGATTTCGTGACGTCACATCGCATAAATGGTTGAAAAAATACGAAAGACCAAGACCAAATAGAAATTCGATCTTCGCAAACACCGTATTATTGGATGCGAGGACACATAGATAGATAGGTAGAGAACGAACCGAAAGCAGACAGAATGCTGGGCGTGCAGAAATGAGCTGCAGACAGACGGAGAGCGAAGAGAACGAACCGAGAGCAGACAGAGTGCTGGTCTATATATTTGTGTTCCGAGACGAAGAGACTTGAAAGAAATCGTTCGTTCCTTTATTCCTTTATTGGATGCGAGGACACATAGATAGATAGGTAGAGAACGAACCGAAAGCAGACAGAATGCTGGGCGTGCAGAAACGAGGTGCAGACAGACGGAGAGCGAGGAGAACGAACCGAGAGCAGACAGAGTGCTGGTCTGCAGAGGGAATGAGAAAGACGGAGAGCGAAGAGAAAACCGAGAGCAGACAGGGTGCTCCACACGCAGCCCTCCACACGTGATCGAGAAACGGCGGAGCGGAAACATCCCCCGAGAAGGGGAAAGACAGAACTCTAAATAAAAGTGAAATATGATGGGAGAAATGCTGGTCTGTCAGGGCTCGAGAAAACCGATCTTTGAACGGAGAGCGGCCCGCTGGAAATGCGAAATACTCGAAAGTTACGCCGAACACAACTGATAGAACTGTTACTGCAAAGCGACTAGGTATCGAGTTGACTGGTACATGCATGCTTGTACGGGATGTTCGATGTCGAAGGGAATCGCTCATGAAACAAAAAATGCAGATCAGACAAGATGTTGGGCAGAGTTTTTGTTGACCTGGGGGGACGGGAGGACGTTGCGTCCGTAGGGGGTAAACATTGATTGCCCCATGATAGTGAAGGATGATTTCACAAGACGTACATGGATGTATTTCCTGAAAAGTAAATCAGACGCTGCGGG